AACCTCAATGTTCCAACAGTATTGATTAACATCAGTTTAGATATAATCAGGATCCACTTGAATCTGATGGAATCAACTAAACCAGAGAATCTGATGGAATCCAGCAAGATTTACCAAAATCAACAAACATCCTCTCAAATGCAAAACAAAATCCAAAAGATCCACTTACTCCACCACAGCACTGCTGGTCATGTCCAGGTAGCGGTCGCTGATCCACTGGACCTGGAACCAGTCCCGGTATCCCGTGTTTCCACAGCAGTGGAACTGGATCTGCAGCAGGTCCAGAGTTCTCTTCAGGTAGCAGCGCCCTGGAGTGTCTGTGTCTTTGTAGTACCGCATGGCGTTCCTCAGGCCCAGGAACAGTGACTCCTCCAGCTGGCTGCGGATGCTGTAGCACATGAGTGCCCCCGCCAGGACACAGGAGGTGAAGAAGAAGGTGCAAATAATGTATGGCATCATCACCAGCTTCCAGTGCAGGAACTTGTTGGTGTCAGCACAGTCTAGGCAGATTTTTCCACCCAAGAAGTTGATGCCGCAGGCTGCCAGGCCCATGGTGATCAGAATATGAGGCGCATAGAGGATTTCCTGGTCTGACATCACTTCCTGCCATTTCTGAATCTCAATTTTGAGGAATAAACCCAGACCAAAGAGGATCATTCCTGCCACTACAGAGATCCAGTTGAGCAGCCAGAGGACCTCAGCTAGCTTCTCTCTCTCTGCCTTGGTGAAGGTCACCTTACCAACTGCCATGTCAGTCCTGTGGTTTTTATGTGTTTCCCCTCCAGACGCCTGCAAACAGGGTCATAACCTGCAGTGCCTTAAGGCACCATACCACTTACAACCACTAGTGGCTGCACTGAAAACCTTAGCCGTCAAAAACATAAACTTTTCTAAAAAAGAAAAAGTCTAAATAATTATTTTATACATGCTAGTTTACTTTTGATTGTCTGTTTGTTACAGTGTAGAAAATTATTATCCATTACTAAGATGCCAGCCTCCTAATTCCTGATTAGTGCCTTCAATTTGCCTCCAAACTGCTTGTTCCAATGTCGTAGCACTGGTTGTGTGTACACTCAATGCGATAATCAAATCCTACACTCCTCCACCTTTACATCAAGCAGACATATTTTAGATGTCTTGTGCATCATTCTAGACACATTTCACCAAAACGCCACCTGGCATTTTGTTTCCTGGAAATGTTCTGTACAGGAAATTATAGTTCATATTAATTTGTAAAGATGATGGCAGCAGAACATCGGTCAAGTTAAAAGAGTTGTGCTCCACTGGATAGAGGGGAATGCTGTCTGGTGTGTAGGCCTTTATTGGTGGGTCTGTCCCAGATGGTCTGCTCCGGTCAAGGTTCACGTTCTTCTCATCTCTTTCACCCTGCGGCTCTGATTTGGGAGTTCTTGGCTCTGTCTAACAAGATGCTGCTGAGTGAAAGATCCGGTCAAAGGGGTCTGAAAGGCTCCGAGGTCACGGTTCGGGGGGCCTCTCTTCAGAGCAAGGCTGGAAGGAAGAGGGGCTAGAAGGACAGCGGCTGCTGCCTGCAGAGCATCATAAGGAGCTTAGCAAGGTATTTTAGGTTTTCTTGACTGCCGTCCACAACTCCAAGACACAGCCAACTTGTGACCGCTGCAGGGAGGGAAGTTAAAGTTTAACTAGACTGGTGCTGGTGGAACTCATCATCACACTGGCTGTGTGAACATGAAGCAACAATCAGAATCCACCAGAATAATAGGAATCTCAAAAACCCATTGGAACAGAAATGATCCCCCTAATTTCCTTTTCAACAATTGTCTTAAGAAACATAGAACACATATTTCTTTCTATTGTATTGTTATTTGTATTGACGTCTGTACAAATGGTACTTGCTAAGCTAGGACCCACATTCACAAAAAACCTATTAAACTTCTCAACTACATCCTCAAATCTGTTGACCGATGTATCATTGTCCATAAAATATGGAGGGTAGTTACTCTTGCTGGAACTGTTTCTAATCAATTTATTTAATATATTCCAAGTACCTCTCATGTTATTTTTATTATCCTCTAATACTTTAGAGTAATATCATTTCTTACATCTCCTCAAAATCTCAATTAATTTGTTCTTATATGACTTATATTTTTCTTCCGCCTTCTTTGATCTGTCCTTTATGAATTCCTTATATAACGCATTCTTCTTTTTACATGCATTCTGTAATCCCTTACTCATCCACGGTTTCCCACTGTAATTCCTTTTGTTTTTATACTGCTTACGAGGACAGTTCCTGTCATATACTTTCTTAAATATATTTAAATTAAACAAAACTAAAATAAACAAAAAGGACTTCCTGGTACATTTGCAACTGCGTTGTCACCAAACACATCCATTGTCAGTTGGGGAGTACCAAAGACTGTAAAACTAGTCCAGCAGTCAAAATGATAAGGAGCGTTTACATCACATGGCTTATGAACACAATTATCTTTCCTCAGAAACTGACAATTTTCCAACACAAATAGATGCACAGAAATAAAAACTTTATACACTTCATTCTACAAAGTGGTCAAAAGCAGGAAAAAACTCTTACAAATTGTATGACAGGTGCAGGGCAGGTGTGTTTGATCTCACTGGCGCAGGAGTCCTGGTAGACACAGCGAGAGCCACCAGCACCGCCACACCACACACAGCCAA